CAGCTCCAAACTTGGGAAAACAAGCACCATCTAGTGGAGACCAGCCAAGACCCAGCACCAGGACGGGCCCCCAGCCGCACGCGGGTCCCCCGCTGGAAGGCGCCCACAGGTGCTCACCACGGAGCCGAGCACTTACCCCGGACGCGGACAAAAGCAGCTCGGGGTGGTCGGGCACCACGAAGATGCGGCTCACAAACCTACAGCGTGAGAGAAGCAGAGGGTGAGCTGAGCTCTGGCACGCTGCTCTGACACCCGCCCGGCCCGTCTGTCCTCGCCAAAGCCCTGTCCCACATACCCCCGAGCCCCAGGGAAAACTAAGGGAGGGTCCACGGGGAGCTGGACAGCGCCGAGCAAGCCGAGGAGCACACCGCGTCATTCTCAGGGCCCAACAACACGACAACCCGCAGGAAGGACCGGCCCAGCCTGGCCGCGCTCCCCACCCTGGCCGCGCTCCCCAGACGCGCTGCTGGAAAGGTCCAGGAGCTTCTGTGCCGCTGCTCGAGCCGCCCCGCTCACAGCCCGAGACCTCCCCTGCAGGTCCGTGATGATGGAGGCCTCAGGGTGGGATCCGTGGGATGGAGCAACAGTGGTCGGCAGGCAGACACAGACCCACTGTCCTTCAGCCCGCGGTCGTCCCCAGAAGCCCACCTCGGAGCCAGCCTCGCCCTGCGAGGGAGACGGCCTCCCCGGCTTTCCCGCCAGCTGTATGGTGGTCACCAGCCCACGGCCCCCGGGGACCCCAGGCGGCTGGCCCCAGCACTCCCCCGGCACAGAATGTCCATTATGGACGCCGTGGGTCACCTCCACGAGTCAAGACGAAACAGGTGGAAACCCGTTTCTACAGATTTTACACGAAAGTCTTAAAAATCTATTTTTATTTGGGGCACCTGGCTGGCTCAGCAGGCAGAACATGCGACTTAATCTCAAGGTTGTGACTTCCGGCCCTGTGCTGCCTGCAGAGATTGCTTAAAAATACTGTTTTTAATCTATTTTTACCACTTATTCGCTCACTGAAATACCTGAGCACCTACGACCTGCCGCTGTGCGGAGGGCTGGAGACAGCAGTAAGCACAGCCCACGAAGGCTGCAGGAGCCAACAGGAGATGGGCCGGCGGAGAGCCCAACAGAAACAGGGCTCCAGCCACGTGACTGGAATTTGCAAGGGACCCCATCTAAGAGTTAGACACCGATGTGGGGCGCCTGGGTGGCTCCGTCAGTCAAGTGTCTGACTTCGGCTCAGGTCACGATCTCATGGTTCATGGGTTCGAGCCCCGCGACGGGCTCTGGACTGACAGCTCGGAGCCTGGAGCCTGCTCCAGATTGTGTGTCTCCCTCTATCTCTGCCCCTCCCCTGCTCACACTCTGTCCCTCTCTCTGAAGAATAAATAAACATTGAAAAAAATTTTTTTCCTTAAAATAAAAGACTGCAGCAAATGAAACTAAGGACTTCTCCTGAGCACACATTGTAATTAGCCTTGACCCCGAGAAGACCGGCATTCTTTGAAAATGCCTCCCTTGCAAAATGTCAAAATTCAACTAGAAGAGAGCTCACTTGCCCTAAAAAAGAGGTCGCGAAGGAAAGACCACTGCCCAGGTTCAGATTTAAGTCCTGGACTGTTCAAACTACGAAAGTATGTCCCCCACACACACGCCTACTGGCCACCGACCGCTGCCCGGCCCTGGCGGGTGTCGGTGCAGAGAAAGGAGTGTTCCAGAAACAAGCCCTCGCCTGGAGGCCAACGTGGGGACCACTGGTGAGCGGTCACAGGCGGGAGGCGGCGGGCTTGGAGGAAAGTCCTCCAACACTGAGGGCCACGCTGGCTCCCGTGGGCAGCGTCACCACCACCATCTGTGACGCCCTCGTGCTGGGGTCTGAGACCCCAGTGCTAACGAGAAAACCGGTCCCCGAAACGCACAGGAAGGGAGGGGAAGGGGGAGGTCAAGGTTCTGAAGGGCCCCGGACAGAAGCAAGCACCGGATGGGGCCTCGCCAGGGAGCCGCCCAGGGGAGCGCTGCACACGCGCGGCGGTCCCGCTCCTGCAGGCCTGGCCACAGAGCGGGTGCCCCGCTTCTCGAGCAGCCCGCCTGTGCGTCCCAGACGTCCTCCGGTGGGGCAGGAAGGGGACTCACTCCGTGTGCCCGAGGCAGAAGGACTCGATGCTGTGCGGTGCCGCGGCCCAGCTCACCCGGATTTTCTCGTCCCGGTCGGCGGTGAGGACGTAGTGGTCATCGGGACTCACGGCCTGCACACGAAGGTGACAGAGGACAGGTGAGGGTGGCCGAAGCCGGGACCCCCGCCCCCGGGACTCGTTCCCGGTGCTCCCCAGGTGTCCTCGCACACACACCACCTGCACCACCCCTCGACCTCCAGCACCCGCTCCCCGCCCCCTCTCTCCCTCCTCCTCCTCGTGTCCCCATGGCCACCCACTCACCAAGTCCTGGCGGTCTTTCCTTCAAGAAACCCTCCCTCCTCATTCCTGCCGACGTCCTCGGGTCCCACCCAGTCCCACCTCCTACTGGCCACCCCCAGCCCTCACCAGGCCCCTCGGTGGGGTAGGTCGTGGCTGAGGGGCCGCAAGGACACGGAGGTGAGGCCCATAAAGCACGGAGAACAAGCCCAGGCCTGGAGACGGTGCCTGCTCTTCCCACAGCCCTCCTCCGCCTCGGCACGTGACCCGGGCTGTCCCTCACTTCCGGGACCACCCCAACGCCTCCTCGCTGGCCCGTCCGCATTCACCAGCCGCTTCACCTTCCTAAGTCCCGCTTGTGAGGCCGCCTGCTCACTGGTCTGCAGAGCTTCTACAGAACCCACACGCCCCCAACGGCCAAGCTTGCAGACCCGGCCTCACCCTCGTCAGACCCTCTGCTCTGCCCCACCTGACTAGCGCACCACCCACGTACCACATCCAACAACATCGACAGGTGCCCAAGTTCAAGCTTGCCGCATCCCTGTGGCTCCAACACCGAAAAGGAATAAACGTCTCCAGACTTGTCGGCCACCAGAAGTTTCTCCTCGGAGGCTGTGAAGGTCAGGGCCGTGCACCTCCTCACCACGGTCCTGGAAGGCCAGAGACGCCCACAGTTGGCTCACGCAGTCAGCACAGGAAGGGCCGACGGGCCTGCCGGCCGTGCGTCCTTCGGACACGCGTCAGCTCCTCGCCGAGCGTCTCCCCCTCCGGGTACCACAGCAGCACCAAAAAAGCAAGGCAGTTAAGAAATGCAAACAAAGCCAACGTCCTAGACAAATCTCACTTTGAAATGATATTTTTGCTTTTATGATGGCAGAATCTGGCCGGTGGATACCTAGCTGTCTGGCACGAAATCCTCTCCAATTTGCTGTGCTTGAAGATTATCCTAATAAAACGTCGGAAGACCTGCTCCTCGACCCAGCAGCTCCACTGCACATGTCGAGGAAGAAGACGGTCAGCTTCAGAAGACACCCAACGTGCTCTGGGCGAAACCGCGAGCACACGCACGACGCGGGCCCCCTGCGCCGGGAGACTCCACACGCAGCCCGGGGCCCTGCCGGGCTGGACTCACCCGCACTGCTCCTGCTTGCACGACAGGTGCCGGGGTGCGGCCCCTCTCCGCAAACACGCACGCGCCATCCGTCCCCACGGGGGGGCGGCCCCGGCACGCGGCTGGGGAGGTCTGAGTTCCGGCTCAGGCCCCATGAAAGTTCACACGCTCGTCAGTTCACACCCCGATCCCATTCACCAGGTCGGTCACACCCGCGAGTTGGAAACTGGTTCAACGCTGCGCCAGCCCGAGAAACATTACCGCGTGCGCACGCGCGCACGCACGCACGCCTCATCCGGGGTCCTGGCCACCCAGCGTCTCGCCCACTCTCGGGGGCGGGTTTATGCAGCTTCCTCCCGCCCTCCTTCTACACTTCCTTCGCTTCCTTTCTACTCGCTGTCCACAAGGCAAGTCCCTGCACTTCCGGCTCCGTGAGACCCCACCTGCGCCACAGCCTTACGCAGACGTCACGTTTATCTGCCTTACCTGCACTTACGGTCCCTGCCCTCCCTTGTCCCCAGAGGGGATGCGAGTGCACCCCCACGGCGCCCTGCAGCTGGCGCTCCAGATGTCAGCCCGAAATGGAAACCTAAGCTCAAACAAGCTACGTCTCCGACACGAGGACCGAACGAGGACATCACAGCTTCTCGGGAGCAGAGGGACGAAAGGACAGAAAACGCAGGGGAGAGGGCCGCCAGCAGCAGCTGAACCTCCCCCTCCGCCCGCCAGGGGAGCTAAGAAAGGACGAGTAATGACATAAACGTAGAGAAAACAGAGAAAGACGGTGAGGCTCCGGGCAAGATTAAGCAGAACTCTCCAGGCGCGCCTTCACCTACACGCCGCCGCGGCTCCTAACGGGCGATTACGCGGCTGCCTCGCGGCCACCCTTCTAGAGCAGCGGCCTGGGCCGGTCCTGCAGGACTCACACGGGCACCCCCCACTGCCCCTCTTCCTGATCAGCCCAGAAACGGCCCGGCTCTACAATCTTGTCACTTCGTCTTTTGCCAGTGGGGTGGGGGGCTTCTATCTTCTCAGGCTAAATTAGTCCTTGCAAGGACTCCAGGATGCACAGAGCAGGTGGGGGTGAGGGTCTGCAGGGGCAGATCCCGAGACAGGACAGTCGATGGGTTGGCCACTCAGCCCCCCCGGAAGGAGGGGTGACAGGGCCCCACCTGTCCTCGGGGTCTCTCCCTTCCCTCCAGAGTCATGAGGTACACAGCCCCGTGTTCCTGTCTTCACGCCCCCCAAGGCCAGCCTGGCCTCTCCCCTGGCCACTATCCTGGTCCAGCAGCTGAGCCCGAGATGCCCCCGCTGGGCTGGAACCCACCCAAGCCCCCCTCCAGAAAGCCATGCTTGTTCAACAAAACTGAGCCCGCCGGGCCCCACAGGGCCCCGAGGATACCAAGCTCCCCAACACCACACACCTCCAGCAGCAAACAATCTCATTTCCCAGGGCTCTGCCTTTCCACATACTCGTATGATTTTAATGCATCTATTTCCTGAAACGGTATGACTTCCTACGTAAGATCTCTCACCAAGAAAACAGAAAACATGTCACACCAAGTGTCCTCATTTTTGGTTCAGAAAACCTGGCCTCAGTTCCAGGCCTTTGTCATCCTGAACTGAAACCTTGAAAACAATCACTGCTACCCACGACTTCCATCTGGGCTTTTCCTCAACACCCTCCATGGCTAGGTTTTAAGGCCACTGGACAGCTCCGAGCTGTGACGAGTCTTGGTCAAACACGCGAGTCCACGATGCTCCCAAGACTGAACTGAAGGTCAAGGATGGCTGTTTTTCTGAGGAAGGGTCCATCTGTCGGGGCCGCCCCCCCCCCCGGCCCCCACCAAGCACAACAGGTGCTGCATCGGGCAGCATCGCATCTTACGTTGCGTTCAGGGTAAAGGTGTAGGACGAGGCAACGTGGGAAACGCAGCCTCTAGAACCGCAACGTGATCTGGCCCGCACCCTTCGCTCGGTGGCTGACACAGACGGGACAGGAGTCCCGTGGGGTCCCGCCTAACTGCCAGCAAGCACCGTCTGCAGGGCACGCTGTACCCCACCCGCGACACGAGAGGCCCTGCACACCTAATGCACATTTGCAACACAGTCCTTTGTTGGCATCAACATAAAAACCAACAGCCCAAATACGATTAGAGGGGGAAAAAAACGAGACACCAACCACCGTTTGCCAGCGTACTGTTGCCGACCCTGAGTGTTCCTAGATCTTTACGGGAAGGTAATCACCAACACGGCACCTTCAAGACACAAAAACAAGTCGCAGCACCCGGGAGCCCTTGGGGAATGGCCAGAGCCCCGCCAGGAGCCCCGGGCGCTCGCCCTTCGGTCGAGGCGCAAGCTCCACCACAGGATGCAGGGGCGTGGTGGCAGGCTGTGCGGATGTCCCCTCGTCCCAAGTTCAGGGCGATGGGCTTCCCTGAGCACAGCGCACACCCCGATGCAGAGGCCACCTGGAATTTGCCTTTTCACTCTTCTCTTTGAAAGTAAGATCAATCAGGACTCTAAAAAGCATAGCTGCTGGGGCGCCTGGGAGCTCAGTCCGTCAAGCGTCACGATCTCCAGGTTCATGGGTTCGAGCCCCTCATCGGGCTTTCTGCCGTCAGCGCAGAACCCGCTTTGGATCCTCTGTCTCCCTCTTTCTCTGATCCTCTCACATGTGCATGCGTGTGCACTTTCCCTCAAAAATTAAATAAACATTTAAAAATAAAATTAAACTAAGTTAAATTAAATTTAAATTTTTAAAAAGGGGGGAGTCATCTGGGTGGCTAAGTCAGTTGAGCGTCCAACTTCGACTCAGGTCACGATCTCACAGCTCCTGAGTTCTAGCCCCACGTCTGAGCTGACAGCTCAGAGCCTGGAGGCTGCTTCCGATTCTGTTTCCCTCTCTCTCTGCCCCTAACCCACTCACGTTCTGTCTCTGTCTCTCTCAAAAACAAATAAACGTTTAAAAAATAATAAGTAAATAAATAGAATAAAAAGCACAGCTGTCCCCGATACAGATGTGAACCAGCTACCAGGCGGAGTCCCTTAGCCCTGGTTGTTGGGCAGCTCAACAGGTAGGTAACTTGCATGCGTTTCTCTCTTACTGTCAAGGGACAGTTAAGCGGAGCAGCCTGCACGGGGGTTGGGGGGGGCGGGGGCAAAGATGAGGGGACAGAGAGGCTGACCCTGGTCTGGGTGGGTGTTTCCGTCCCTGTCACAGACATCAAAGAATCCCAGCCTTCTCCCACTGGAGGAAGCAGAGAACTCACCACCGCCCCGTCACAGTAATGGAAAATCACGTGTGCCCAGGGCCTGCGTCAGCATCCCCCGCCTCTCTAAGCCCTCGAGGTCACAAGACAAGGAAGCTCTCGGGAACTCACTAACGGAGACCTCCAGAGGGACAACTAAGGCCAAAGAACACACAAGTAAGGCCAAAGGACACCAGGCCGCTGACACCCTCCGCCATCAACACTAAGCTCGCACACATTCTTCACGTACTTGGGAATCAGGACGCTAACTTTACATCCCGCCAAGTTCAACTGCGGCACAGGAATGTACACAAAACCCCTCACACTCTTGGGGCGCCCGCGGTTAGTCTCCATTTCTGCCACCACGGGGCTGGAGGAGTGCTGGAAAGCAGGATGCCACGGTGGCCAGAGGCCCGCACTTTGGAGCCAGAGCGACCAGGTTCAGGGCCCGGCTCTGCCCTGGGTGCTGATGAGGATCAGCTTCTGGACTCCGGCCAGGGATGTGGGTAAGGGCAAGACCCCTGCCCCGCCCCCCCCACCCCCCACAGGGCTGTTTCGGGGATTAAATCAGTTAACACACGTAAGACCCTGAAAACAGTGCCTGGCACAGAGCTGAGACTATGTGTTAGTTGCTTATTACTAGGTCGCTGTCGCTACGGTTACAGGCATGCAAGTGTAAGCTGTGCGTTCAACATCAAATTATTCAACGTTAGCATTTCATACCTGACACTCAGACATTGCCATGGTTTTGTACGGAAAAGAATCAGACGCTTACTGTCATCAGTTAAGGCAAAATAGGTGCCAGACTTGGAGAAGGTTGACGCCAGAATCGTGTCACTCCCCTTATCCGCGGGCTGCCCGTCCTCCCTGAGAAAGAGAGGACAGGGTTAGGGCCTACCTGAGTAAACAAGGCGACATCCCTGCAGGCTAGCCTCACTCATTTATAACACGAACAGGGGCAGAAAACGGTGTGAGATTCACGTAACCAGAATATAAAGACCTATCAAGGGGACAGAGGGAGGTTCAACACAGCTGGAATTTTTAACGAATAAATCTCATTAAACAGGCACACACACCAGAACCCAAAGAGCGGAGCTGGAAAGACCCTCGGAGACCACGTGACCCACTCCCTCATGGACATGAACGGATCCAAGACTAGAGCCAAGGATTATTTTCAGTTTTTTTTTTTCTAATGAGCCACAAGACCAATTCTACTAAAAAAAAGAACACCATACAAAATTATCACATTCTGCTTTCCTGATCTTTCAATTAACTAAAGCTAACTTCATACACCTGCCTTCAAAGCATTTAAAATTCCATTCTATTTTGGGGTGCCTGGGTGGCTCAGTTGGTTAAGCATCTGACTCCTGATTTCAGCTCAGGTCACGATCTTGAACTCAGGTAATGATCTTGGGAGCAGAGCCTGCTTGGCATGCTCTCTCTCCCTCTCTCTCTCTCTCAAAATACATAAAAATAAAACATGAAAATCCCATTGTATTTCAAGATGACTATAAAAAAGTTAATCACGGACAGAAACTAATTAAAAATACTTAGAAAAATCCTAATATCCTTAATGCCAAGTTTAAAAGTTAGTTCCACGTTTCTTTCCGGAGGTGGTACCTGGTTTATCCACACAGCAGGGTAAAGAGAAATGAAGAATTCAGGGGCACCTGGGTGGCTCAGTCGGTTAATCTTCCGACTTCTGCCCAGGTCATGATCCCACAGTTCACGAGTTCGAGCCCCACGTGGGGCTTACTGCTCTCAGCGTATATCCCGCTTTGGATCGTCTGTCCCTCTCTCTCTCTCTCTCTCTCTCTCTCTCTCTCTCTGTCCCTCTCCTGTTTGCACTTTCTCTCTCAAAAATAAAAATTAAAAAAAGAACAGAAAGAGAAAAAAGAAATGAAGACTTCAGTAAGGAAGAAGATCATTTACTTCTTAGGCTACCCTGTCCCAATAATTCCATGATCAGGCCCGATGAGGCTCCCCCATTACCTCACCCTTTACTTTCTTGTGACTTCTCTGCTGCCGTGCTGCAATCATATGCGAAGAGGACATCATCACTAAGGAAGAACAAAGATTTTAAAAAGAGCACTTTATTAATAAAAACACGGGGTTTTTCCTAGAACATAAGTAATCTTATAATCATTAAATTAAGGGTCTTATCAGGGAGCCTGAGCCGCTCAGTCAGTTAAGCCTCAGACTTTTCATTTCAGCTCTGGTCATAATCTTATGGTTTCTGAGTTCGAGCCCCGCATCAGCCTCTGCGCTGACGGTATGGAGCCTGCTTGGGATTCTCTCTCCCTCTCTCTCTGCCTCTCCCTACTTGCATTCTCTCTCTCTCAAAGTAAATAAATAAACTTT